CTCTTAATCCCCAATTGTCTCCTAAAATGCTTTATTGACTAGAGCCCAACTGGAGCCAAGATTTCAGCCCAGAATTTATTTCTGTCCATTTAGTAAAAGGAAAGATTCCCACCTAGTAAACTTAATTCATGCTGATCTTGCAATGGGGTAGAATAGGTGAGGCTCATTCTGAGCTACACATCACATTCTCTTCTAGGCTTCATACCTATGCAGAGCTCAACTCCTAAATATTCTGATTAAATAAGGTTGGGTGGAGCCTAGGCACAAGCAGTTTTACAAAGCTCCCCTAGTGATTCTGCTGGACTTGAGAACTCCTGGACTCAAAATGCCATTTCCAAACTTAAATGTGCATCAGGATCACCTGTGGGGGGCCGGGGTGGGGGGAGGATTTTTTTTTTTTTATGTGTAGATACCATGGTTACTTGCCATGGACATTCTGATTGAACAGAATCCTAGGTGGAAGGTCCCAGGAATCTTTATTTTTAACAACTATACCAGCTGATGCTGATGTGGTCCTTGGACAACTCTCAAAGAAACACTAGTGAGCACAGGGAGCTGTGACCCCATTTGAGAAGCCATGAGGGGTTGTCTGGAAACCCTGCAACCATGACCACAAATGCTCCTTGCTACCTGCTTGCTAGGGCCTGCCTTTTCCATTCCAGGATTCTGTTTCATTTCAGCCCTAACCAGGTCCCACCCTCTCCCCTCCTCCACCTATTCAATCTCTACAAAGAGATGCCTCACCTGAGCAGGCTCTGGGACAGGCTCTGTGGCAGCAACATAAATGGTGGTACAGGGATCCTGAGCTGGCAGGGGATCAGATTTCTTCTGAACAGACTACAAGGGAAGCAAAGAAAACATGAAATTAGCTGAGCAGAGAGTTATTTCCCATCCAACTCTCTTGATGGAGAAGCATAAAATCAAAAAGCTTTGAGTTAGAACGCTCCTTAGAATTATATGGTTCAGCTTTCTTCCAAGGTGGAAATTCTCCCCCAGGTTTCCTGGAACTCTTTGGATTCCCAAAGTGACATCTTGGAGCTCACAACTTCATGAGCCTGTCTAATTCATCATTAGTGCTTCCTAGAAGCTTAAATGTCTTCCTCACAGTGAACTAAAATTGGTGTGGCTCCTACTGAGGCGCCCGAAGAGTACGTGATCTTCATAGCATTTGAGTCTTGCTAATGTCACTCAATATATGCAGAGTTCTTTCCATCCCCACAATCTTCTCATTACTTCTCTTTCCTGCCCCAACTTTGAACTCAATACTAACCACACAGGTAAGTGTGTTAAAGTTTAC